TTCCTCGCACGGCGCCGAGTTTGCCTCCGAGTTGAAGGCTTTGGTCGAAGGACTGTCGGGGCAATTGCGTCCCTGGCAGGCCAGGTAGATCAGACGCAGTCAGAGCGAGCTGTCTCCACTGTGTCCCCTCGGTGGGCAAGCAGGAAGAGACACGAAAGCATGTTTGCATTCAAACACGTCTTTTCCGGGGAACCCCCGTTCCCAGGCACGGCTCTCCCACTATTTTGGGGGGTTGGCGAGGCCCAGGCTAATTGCCCCAGTCCTTCTCTGGATCCTCGGGGTGCTGGCGGCAAAGTCTCCGATCTCGGGGCAGGGCTTTCAGGGCAGGGCACACGTTGCCCCCCCTACTTTCAGCCAGCTAGGGTTTGTCGCGTGGTAACGGTACAACTAGTAACTAGTTTTTCCTTGTGTCCGGTCCCTGCTGTGGGTTTTGACTCCTTTCTTACCGACCCACAGGCGTCCCCAGAGGGAACCGACCCTGTCATGAGACGCACAGTCGAACACGCTCCCTCTCACATATTAAAGTGAAAGGAGATGCAGTTCGCTCGCGTCGCGTCGGTACTCCGGGCGTTCCTTCAGAGTCATCCATCTGTATGACTCGGTGAGCCACGCTTTTGTGGTGAGGCGGAGTATCATCGATCCCAGTGATATATACCCCACCCTTGATCCTAAAGCAACCACCTAAGGTTGCTTCAACGCTTATGGGATCACCGGCGTCGGGATCCAAAGCAACCCCGTTGGCAAGTCTTTCCCTGTCCGCCTGAGTGCGGAGTGGGGAGCAGAGCATGCAAATGGTGTTGATGGGCGGCGTTGGTCAGCTGTGGAGGATGTAATGCTTAAGGCCCCCGAGTGGGGATAACATAAGGCAACACTTTCCACTGGACCAAAAGCTACCCGGTCGGTGTGGTTTTGGGATCAGACCCCATAGCGTGGGATGAGACCAAAACGCCCCCAACCGGATTCCAAAGCTCCTTCCCCAGACCCCGGTACCACGAATTTGGTAAACCGGGCAAAGGGGGATAGCCGCGTTCCATGGGTGTCCTTTCCAATTGAAGACGACCCATCTAGCCGTGAGGGCAGAGTTGCTTGAGCACATTATGCGTGACCAGCACTCTGGAGACCTTGGAGGCAGAACGCACCAGCCTCCTAGACCAGGCGACATTTTTACTGGTGGGCCACCGCACATCTACATGCGACACCCCCTAGTGTTGCCTGGCTCTCTTGGCCAGGACCACTACCGTGCTACGGCCTTAGACGCACATGTTTTCGCCGACAAGCTGAGCCGGGGTACGTCCCC